TTACCAAGATGTCAAAGTCTGTGATAAAAGTCCAAAAGATATTCAAAGTGCAGTCAAGAGTTTTTGTCATGGGTCCGAATCCAAGGGAAAGAAAAGTTTAAAATGTACATTTAAATGCAATGTAAGTTGCTTTGGATAAAAGTGTCTGTCAAATGCGTAAGAGCATGGGCGTCCCTAGGCCATTTTTAGGGGGGATATAGCCAAAGTTTTCGCTGCATTCACCCCTCATCACACCACTGCTGTTTCCTCCAGCGAAAATTAAGCCCTTAACACATATAAACACATACTATATAAAACGATCATGTTGCCATTAATTACAGTGCATGTTACTTTTAATATTACATACTTGAGCTAAAGAAAGAGGGTTGTACTAGAAATGCAAACAGTAAAATGTTGTGTTTGTACAGTAAACAGGTGTGTGTGTGTGTGTGTGTGTGTGTGTGTGTGTGTGTGTGTGAGAGAGAGAGAGAGAGAGAGAGAGAGAGATCAGGATTCAGGAAGACTTGTATGGCTTATTCAGTACTCAAATGTTATACCTATCTATGCAATACTGTGGAATACAATAAGTTGCAAAATGCAATAAAATGCAATAAGTTTAGTTTACCAACTTACCCTATTAGTCAATCATTTTTTTAATTTATATGTTTATTATTATTTTTTATTATTATACCCTCACTGGGGGCTGAGCCCCCTAAAACGAAAATCTTAGAATCGCCCCTGCGTAAGAGTATGTGTGTGTAGGTGTATATACACTGAATTATATAATTCATTTAATTATGAACATATTGTAAAGTATTGCTTACATTTATTATAATCTGGCAATCCATAGTAAAGGTATTTTATTTTTATTTTTTATTTTTTTAAAGTCAACTTTTCTCCATGTACTGGGAACAACATGTCCAACTGTCAGATCAGGAAGTTCTAGATGATGGATCATGTGATGGGAATAACAGTTGTCTGGGAATTGGGTTCAGTATGTTCTTAGTAATCAGAATTACTAAGATTGCTGGAGCTATTTCACTGGTTTATCCAGAACTTCTAAAATGTGATGGGAATGTTTTTTCTTTTCTTTTTTTCCTATATTTTATTGTGAGTATGATGTTTTAAAATACAAACTACTGGCAACTGGGTTTTTTTTTTTTAACTTAATACTGCTCGCCATCTAGTGGTAACACATGATTAGTGACATGTGCACAGCAAATAGGCTATTACTGCAAAAGAAAAAAAAATTGTGTTGTTGTTGGTCTGATTGTTTGTTTTTGAGCAATATGTGTTTAGTATTATCATCTTCTGGAAAGATAACCAGGACATGAGATCTAATTCAGGTTACATTACTCTTACAGAGGTTTACATTGACTCTTTATATTAAAATGATTTCTGCAGGATCTTGTGACACTGAAGACTGGAGTAATGTCTGCTGAAAAGAAAATAGAATAGAAAAGAATAGAAACCAGTTATTTTAAATTGTAATAATATTTCACAATACTACTGCTTTTTTACTGTATTTTTGATCATTTCATGATTCATTTTTGAAATGCAGCCAGTAAGCATAAAAGGCTTGCTTAGTTGGGGACACGTGACTGATTGCACAGACACTATTGGAAGAGAGCTGAACTGGATGCTGACATCAGTGAATCATCAATGAACTGACTTTAGCTGGAAAAATGACTCTTTGTTATTGTATTCTTGCATTATTGACAAACTATTTTCCTGTTTGACACTGTAAATCTGCTTTGATATAATCAGTATTGTATAAAGCGCTATACAAATAAAGGTGACTTTACTTGACTTGAAAACTTGACTTCTTTTAAAAAAATCTTACCAACCCCAAACTTTTGAACAGTAGTGAATGACATTTGCACTTGTGCACTCAAACACAAGCACCAATTTTACACTCTTCATTGTGATCACTTTCATTTATTAAAATGGGCCTTGTGTCTCACTTACGCTTAATCAGTAGATATTTGTGGTTGCGCAATTTCAATACAAATGAGACAGGAGACTCTGCAGAAGAACCTTTGGCTGGGTGAGCACACTGATTTCACCCACAATAAACAAAAGTTTAAGACCTTCTGGCTGTTTCTTTGTCCTTCTGTTTCCTCATACCATACCATAAGGTGTGTTCAAGAACTGCCTGGTTCAATCTATAAAACATAAACTAATAGGTGCTTTAACAATACATGTGCTTATGTGTATCTGATTTTTATAACTCAGTTTTACAGACACTGTTAGCTCCAAACTGAAACTGTTAGCTGCAGAGTCATCTCTGATCTGAATTGGTGACTTTCGATATCAAATTGGATAATTATTTCCAATTTGTTCACTGGACAAGACATGCAGGTGGGTCTGCTCGAAACAATGTTGAGAACTGCAGTTTTATGTCAAATGATTAATCTCAGTCCTTCCACTCCCAGTGCACTGTGTGGGCTATAAAGACTTATACATTCTCATGAAGTGTTTGAGGAAATGTGAGTGTATTGGGAAGTTACAGGAAATGTTAAATAGTAACTCAAGGCATGATGCTAACTTCTTTGATGAAGAAAGTAACTCACTCCATGTGTGTGTGTATCTAGGGAGCGAAGTCAGACGATACAAAAACACAGATGACACTTGATAGACAACCACACATCACTGAATCTCTCTAGTGATGACCGTGTGGAGCCACAATACTGCATCCATACTCAAAGTCTGAAACCTGAGGAGAAAGCGAGGGATCAACAACACTTGGTGAGTGAAAATTAATGTAAAATGCCTTTTGTTGAATAATAATAATAATGATAATAATATTAATAATAATAAAAACACTAACATTGGTTTATTTGTACATACCATAATATCATGGTTAAATATGGCACTGCTTATTTGGGCATTTTACTCATCGCCATTATCCAATATTTTTCAATGAATATTCTAAGAAAAAGGATTGTTCTCATTCACTTGTATTGATTCATACATTTCATTTAATAGTGTTAGATTTTAAAGTCTTCATGAATTAGTGAATCAATATGAACAAATGCTGATCAGATTCAAAAGATTCCAGTCACTAGGATGAACAAATTTCCTTCCAATATTTTGGACAGGTATAGCAGGCTTCTGTTTTTGTTTTGTGTGTGTGTATTTTTTTTCTATCATGGTAATGTTGTATACATTATATATATATATATATATATATATATATATATATATAACAGCATAAATGAGTACACCCCCTCTAAACCTTAACAAATTCAGCAATTACTCTTTACTTAGAAGACATGTTAGGGTTCTTTGGAGATGTAATGTTCCAACAAGCCTGCTTCATCAATTACCAGAGAAGAATGACAAAATTATTCAGCAAAATAAGATTTTCTTATCAAAGTGATAAAATTTTGTATTGCAAAAATTAGTAAACCCTCTTGAAAGTTTCTAACTAAAAAAAAAAGGTGTATAGGTTTAAGGCTATTTTTGATCAACAGGTAAGTATATTGAACCAAAACTTTTAAAGACAAGTAATTTCCTGACAGTTAAAAGTGTTATATAGCCCACTGAATCATACTCAGACTTAATGCTGGCAGCAGTGGAACCACTTGGGAGAGAACTGCCAGGTGACTTATTTCTTAGCATAAAAGAGGACAATGGTACAAGAGGAATACCAAATTATTGTTTTAAGTGTGAAAATATAGCAGAAGTAGCCCTGCATTATTGGGCATTTTTACAGCATGACAATGAATATATCCATTATCCCAAGGTGAAAATCCTTCAGTGGACATGTA